CCGCCAACGTTAGGAAAAAAAAAAGGTGCTCCGCCTTGCGGTATTCCATGTCCTTACATGTCAAGTGTGGAGGGCACATTGCCACGAGGATTTCTTTGTCTAGATGCGGCATGCTACAATGCTACGACCGATGCTGCAACAGGTGAGCGCTAGATCTGCCTGAGTTCAGGAAGTTCTCTTCTATGCGAAGCAGTCCCCGGCAAGAGACGACCTTCTACGGCTGGGGCTTGGTACCTCAGCTATACAACCACGGGTTCGCATCGGGGACACAAAAAGTGGCGTTTGCAGGGATGTGCCGGAGAGGTTTGGACAGCAAGAACCAGCCAAATGCAACTGCGACCATTATGTCCGACGTGTCATTTTATGTTTGTCGAGGAGCTAGTACAAGTACGTGTGAGCTTGCCGCCTTCATGCTACTGTGCACGGATGCACGCCTTCGTGGCCTCGGAATATCTTCGCAGATCCGCCTTACTGCGCGAATGCCAAAGTGTCTTAGTCACTCACAGTATGTATGTGTATACATGCATACATATATATATATATAGAGAGAGAGAGAGATAGGTCGAAAATTAGTTGGGGTGTCGGCGTGGATGCGATTTTGCACGGTGGCCACCATGGATGCGGGCAGGAGCACGGGTTGGACGGCATGCCGCATACGGGACCGCTCGGTATGTGTCTGAGAATTACGACGCCCACCGTGAAGACCACTGCGAGAGCTCGCACTGTCCTAACGGGAGCTGTGGAAGTGTGCAAAACCGTAATATACATACAACTCTCTACATATGTGCACGGATGTATGCATTGATGTATGCATATGCATACATGTGGACATGCATATCACTTCATTGTCACAATAATTCTCAAATGCCATTATCTTGTTTTCTCTCTTTTTCTGGCATATTTTTTGGCCGCCCCTTGTTCAGGAAGGCGCCGACCCAGTGGAGCCCAAGGAGAAGGAGAAGCCACCAGGCCAAGCGCACAGGTCTGTGGCTCCTGTAGCGCGAGAGATACAATTCGAAAATCTTTCTGAAACACCTCGCCAAAGAAGTACACATATCTACTTTTCTACAACATCATGGGGTCTGTATATCACCCTGGATCCTAAACTCTAGCAGGTGAAGTGAAGTGGAGTGGTTGTTTGTGTAGCTTCTGCTTGAGAGATGAAGTTGTCGTGCCGGATCTGGGCCGCTTCCGCTGTGTCACTTGTTCAGAGAACGCGCGCCCCTGAGACCTCGCCTGGCATCGCCTGGCATGTCCGAGTTGTGAGAGCGTCAAGCCCCTTACATAAATTGTCGGAGCTGAATCGAAAAACCAGAAGGGGTGTATAGGTTTCAGGTTTCAGGGCTTGCTGTGCCTCCCGGACGACGAGGCAAGCCCGCTGCAAAAGGGCTTGCTGTGCATTTATCTTGCCAATGCTTTTTGCGACACTACAAGAGGTGTGGCTGCAAACGGGCTTTCGCTTAATTTTATGCCTATGGTTTGAACATTTCATCGTACAGTGTCGTTGAGGCAAGGGCCTCTATTCTACATCCTCAGCCTTGCCGAACGTAGAGTCGAAGCCCATGAGCAGCCATGCGTCAAAAACGCCAGAACATGCCAGCAATGCGCTGCCTTTCTTTAAGACCTTGGCGAGGCAAGCTTAAAAGATGACATCAATGGTTGACCAGCAGCTTTTTTGTCACGTGGATGTTGTTAACTCGGTCTGACCATCTGTAAGACGTTGGAAGACAGACCTTCGTGCACCTCGGGCATGTGTGTGTGCGCGAGATCCAGGAGCCGGAGCGGAAGCATGGACAGAGACGGGTACCAATGTTTGACATGTGACAGCGACACTGCGCAACTTGCGGTGTACAGGGTTTTCACAGGCGTGCAACGGTAAGCGCTGAACTTCACAACTCGTTGGGTCGATGGCCTGAGATGTGCTTGTGGGCCCGCGCCCACTCAACACTTAAAGCATCGATGTCGCAGCAAAAAGACATTAGACTTAAGACGCATACGCAATGAACGCCAAACTCAAGTTTGACGACTCCGGTGTAGTAAACTTTGGGTTTTTTCGCAGCTCCCACACAGCGGGAGGCGACGAAGAGCCACCAAAGGAGCGGAGCCGCAGCCCGCGTGATGATGTGGCGAGAGGCCCCCTGGGTCAAAGTAAGCCGGATGTTGGCCTTTCGAGCTTGTCGTTTAACACTGTACTCCGTCTCGGATGTCCTCTACACGCTGTCTTTCCTCATTGCATTTGTGGCAGCAGGCCCTGCTTTTGCGTTGATGCCGACGTCTAGAGACAGCATGCAATGCTGCACGCAGGGGCTGCAGGGGAGCATCAAGCCGACTCCAGCGAAAACTCGGAGGAAAGCAAGCCGATTGCACTTGCAGTCGGCAGGCTACGACCATGTATGTGGTTTGAATTCAACAGAAGATTGCTGCAACCGCATGCCACCTCTGAGTTGTGAAATCCTCTGGGATTGGGAGTTGATTGATTGTTGGTGTCACTAACTTATCTCTTGACCTAGAGCTAGCAGGCCTGATCCGCTTCATACAGCAGGCTCAGTGTGCATAAATGTGTTTTTCTACGACATTCTCAAGCTGTTGAAGCAGCGCAATTGCGACCGCACCAAGTCTCAGGTTCGCTACCGGAGCAATGAACCTGGTGCAACGAATCGAATCCAGATCAACCAGAACAGCTAGAACCTTTAGATTTCTCAGCTTCGAGTTGCCGCCTGGAGTCTAGCTTCACAGGGTGTCAAGCGGATTCAAGCTTGTGGCGATCAAAGCCATTTCATCGCTCGGCTTTTCCGGGACAGGGAGAGGATGAGGGTCTTCTTCACAACGATTCATGCGTCGTCCTCAATGCCGCTGCCACTGAGGGAAGCACAATCGGGACACTCCGCACTTTCACTGGACGCGTGGCCAAAAGTTGGGAGCTGGCAACTACATTGTCCGGAAGCAGGCGCCGACCGTGTTTGCATAATATTGCCAGCGCTAGCTAGCCGCTAGCACCTAGCACTGGGGATGCAACTCTCGCAACAAGCAGTCGAACCGATTCAAGGGGTCGTGATAGCAGCCGTAGAGCTTACAAGTTTTAAGTCCGTACCGCTCAAGTCTTGGCTCAAATGTCATATGTCTGCAAGCCGGAACGCTGCCACAGAGAATGTCCCTCCCGCCCACGTGGACTGCTGGTGGCTGGCCCCAACAGCAGATCGCACCGTATGGAAGGCTCGGAGCGCCTGCAACACAAAGCATGATGGCCTCCAACCTGGCCCCTACGATGATCTTGGCTCAGTCTTCGCCAACCTCACAGGGTGAGCAGTCGCAGGAGTCCGAGCCCTGTTTCGAC